CAATGTGAATACAGCACAAATTGTGGAGCTATAATTCATTACTTCCCCTGTGCTATTTTGTTTTCATCTTCTCTCATCTGCCCTTCAGCACTATTTTTAATAATCACCTTATCTCTTTCGTGATTAGCCCCGCCGTGGTGGTCTAGTGGCTAAGGTACTCGGCTGCTGACCCGCAGGTCGCGGGTTCGATTCCCGGCTGCGGCGGCTGCATTTCCGATGGAGGCGGAAATGTTGTAGGCCCGTGTACTCAGATTTGGGTGCACGTTAAAGAACCCCAGGTGGTCAAAATTTCCGGAGCCCTCCACTACGGCGTCTCTCATAATCAAATGGTGGTTTTGGGACGTTAAACCCCACAAATCATCATCATCTTTCGTGATTACTTGTGTTCTGTTCAGGGACGTCTTTCTCGCTCAGTTTCTACTGTTTCCTCCTCCGAGCAGTGCATCAAACTCCTTACGCCGGCGTTTCACTTTCGCTTCCCTGGCTCGGACACATGAAATAGCGGTTCGGTGATGTGGGCGTCTGGGGGCAGGTAAGCATAGCTTATGTGTATCAAACGTGGTACATGCCTGCGTGACGCAGACCACAGATAAGACTAAGAACGCCCGCAATGTAATGTGGCAGCTTGGGCTAGTTGGTATGGCATGACGATAGTTATAGCGCGAGAACAAAACGACGACACAGAGACAAGGACAAACGCTTTGTCATATCCTATACACTGACAACGACAATCGAATTCGTGACTGCACCACCTGGAACTATGACGAATTGTAAAGTTGGCCGGCTGTTTAGTCAGTAACACAGCGAGATGTATAGGTCACGTCGCAGACACAGTGCAGGAGAGACGACGCCGGAGATTTCTATAGAAAGCGACTTCTCTGCCAGCTGCTGCTGCAACACATGCTTTTCGAGACTAAATGTGCACGGCGAACCATCTGCTATGTAGAGATACTCTTCGTCTATTCGGCGATCTTGTTAACTTGCTAAAAAGAGCAAGCGCTTTCCTGTCTACTTTCCAACAATATTCTGACAACGGATGTTGAAAACATCCAGTGTTGTTCTGTCCCTCCAATGTCGCTATCACTCTTCCAGAAGAGCTGTGTATCGGCCAATTGGAATATACAAGTTGTTTTGGGTTATACCACTGTGTCCCTCTTTTTTAAACGCTCTATATAGTGCAATAAACAGTGTGTGTGTGTGTGTGTGTGTGTGTGTGTGTGTGTGTGTGTGTGTGTGTGTGTGTGTGTGTGTGTGTGTGTGTGTGTGCGTGTGTGTGTGTATGTGTATGTGTATGTGTATGTGTGTGTGTGTGCGTGTGTGTGTGTGCGTGTGTGTGTGTGTGTGCGTGCGTGCGTGCGTGTGTGTGTGTGTGTGTGTGTGTGAAAACCAAATTGCAATGTAAATATAAAGAAAGGAAAGCGGCTCCAGAAATTTTAACCACTCAGCCCTTCAACTGTCACTGAATCTGGAATACTGCTCTATGAATTGTGTTTCTCATAAATTACAGGCAGTTTTCCAACTCATATTCTTCTAAACCATATTTCCTGTCAGGTAAGGAACCTGTGGGCTGCAGTATGGGATAAATAAACACGGGAGGCGAAAATAAGGACGCTCATTACTTGAAGAACGCGGCATGCTGCAAGTCAGTGCGTTCCTTTGCTAACACTATAGTCACTTCGATCGGCGGCAACGTCCTTCGCACACTAACGCAATGACTAAAAATCAGCGAGGCTTGCCAAGACAGACGGCTATAGCTCGCCCTCGAGTTACCGTTTTGTGAAACACCTTTCTGCAGGAACTGAGACTTGCGTAATGCAAAGTACCAAGTAAATTTCCCATTGTCATCGACACTTTCGATAAAACTATTTGAAATACAAATACATCGAGATACAGAAATGGAGAACTATGCTGCGCAAAGTATATATATCCCTAGGAGTTCTTTCTTTTTCTACGGAGTTGTCTGTATTTCTTAGTATTCATTCGTCGACAACAATGACGAACGTTGTTTCATCATTTGAAATATCGGGAGTGCTCTCACAAGGTTCGCGCGGATGAGTTTTCACACTTGGCTGCTATCTAAACCTGGTACAACCGTGGAGGTGTTTCAGTCATTCCAAAGAGAAACAACGTAAGTCCTTGTTGATGGGAGGTGTATTCAATGTGCCAGGTGTTCGGAAAACAATGTCTCTGTAGGAGCCCTAGCGAAAGTATAAACTGGCGACTACTGCACTCACACACGGACTTACGTGTGACCTCCTTCGTTTCGCAAACGTGCTGTGACCTTCGAGCAGACTCCATTGCTCATTGTAGGCTTCACACTCGAAAACGTGTTTAGAACTCGCACGAATTGCGCGGTTCTCCAGATTTACTTCCTGCCCGTAACAACATCATAAGGCTACACGAGAACATTTATGTTACCACAACTGATATCACGTTAGACGCTATAAATTGGGATTCTCGAGAACTTCGGGCTGACTGACTAACGTGCAGGTGTATGCATAAAAAGCCCAAAAGACAACAAGGAAGTCACGACGGCAATATGTGAAGTCAGCAGCCCACAACAAATCAGTAGTTGATGAACACAGCATAGACGAGATTGCGGATAACGGTCGGCTCACAACTATTGTTGCAGCCGCCTGGGCCGCGGTTATTACAGATCCGCCCCCGCTAAACATGAGTGCGACTTTCAGGAACGCCGAAGCAGTGTCGCGCGCGGTGTTTTGTCCGTATAAGTAGCGAAGTGTGAGGTTATATTATGAATAGTGTGTTTCGCGCTCCAGGAAGAGCACCTCTCGGGGTAAAACAGAAGTCCGTTGTTGCTTCAGATATACGAGTTGAAAACTTATGATAGGAATTTTGATCATATGTGGTACCTTAACACGAACAAAACTTCGGGTGAATGCACATATGTGTGAGTGTCAGTGTGTGCGTCTGTGTGAAGTAAGAAGGAAACGATGACAGGAGAGGCTGATGATGAGTTGTGCGTGGCAAGTAATAAAAGCACGGCATCTCCAAAGTGTAGCCTCCGAAACAAACACACACCCACGTACACAACAATTTATACATAGTAAAATAATGGGCGTGTACAAAACTAAAAAGTTACTTTTATTCTCAACGCTTAGAATTGGGTACAGTCCTTCTTCAAGAATGGAGTTGACAGGTATACATAAGAAGAAATATAGGTGGGGCAAGTGATCTTTAAGAAATTAATAAATTATTGCAACACTCTAAAAATTCCAGGAATAGTAGGCACTAACAACAAGATGGGTGCGGAAAAAGGGGGGTAGCACTTGTATGTGTTGTTTCACACACACACACACACACACACACACACACACACACACACACACACACACACACACACACACACACACACACACACACACACACACACACACACACACACATATATATATATATATATATATCCGAGACGAGAGCTCTGACCGTTGAACCGTTGCGACATCGAACATTTACGTCAGACATTTGCGAGAACAAACATTTACGTCACGAGCAGCAGCCTTCCCCCGCATCCGGCGAGGGGCATCCGACGACCGTTTTTCTGCATGCAGCATCAGGGCACCGAGAAACTTGCAGAGACTTGTTCCGCCACCCCGCCTCGGCGTTGCAGCTCTGGAAACTGGGCCCGGCTTTGCTATTTTGTTTTAGTTACGCTGACCACCCGGCTGGAAGCTTCCAGAGACGTCAAGAAGCTTGGCGCGTAACAACTGCCACTGCTTCTGTACTGCTTGTGAACCGAAAATGGTTGTTTACATTGCGATACGGTTACACAGCCGCCTGCCCTGCCACGCTAAAAGTTCTGTTTGTGACTTCTTTGGTACAGAACAGGCCTTTTCACGGAGTTACTGCACGGTTAACCCTTTATGAATGTTATTAAAATATGCTTCGTGCAGTGGTTACATTCCACCCGTGCTTCGGCTGTTTATCGCTCAGCTTTAAATGACTCAGAACAGGTTGAAAAAAGAGACAATAGCTGCGAGTGAATGTGCCGCTGTGGAACCTTGTTTTATATTCTCATCAACGCACCAAAACGTTTTTATATTTGCGGTGAACATTTCCTCTTTTGATCTCTTCCCTAAGAAGGCAAATTGTCGTATCCTAGAAAGATCGCCTTCGTTTATTAATCACTTGCCAACATTCAAAAATTCAACATTTTTAGACTCGGAATTATTTTTTTCCTCTGACGTTTACCGACCCGCACTCAACTATCATTTATTTTTTTACGTCTAAAAGAAATGCAGCGGGTTATCTAACTTACAACCACATTCATGCTCTGCATATGCTGGTCCTATCTTCTAAATTTTTATTCCAGTTCATTTCTGTTTTGGAGGTTGGCATTAAGCCATGCATGCACTATTGAATCGCTCATTAACTGCACCGAATCATTGCTTGAGCTGTCATACTTCACAACAAATAACTAATTCATCATAGAGTCACGAAAAAAAAAAAAAAAGGCTGCCGCGCCTTTCCGCAAGGTATGCTGGCATATTGAAAGCACGCCAAGTGATTTCGGGAAAATCCAATGCAATGACGCAATAGCATATAAGTATTGCAAGATAAGCAGAGCTGCGAACTACTTACTGTTCCATAACACACGAACATTTCGACAGCTGTATAAGGCACGTGCTCTTGTTTATCTCAAGCACGCGGCAGTGCTAACCAGACGGGAGCTGACCATGAGTCACCTAACCATCGACGTCAGTCCAGGAACAATACAAACGCTATTCACAGCGTGTCTTGCAAGCGCAACTCCGCGAGCGAGGTCACCGCACAAGGTGAATTCCTTCTCGCCTCCACGTACGCAATCAAAACACCTGCACATTGCCCGTATGGGCGCTTTTCTTACTGCAGTCACGCGGACGCCCTTCCATTCAAGGTTACCGGAGGTGAGTCACGTTTGTTTTTATTTACTGCTGCGGCCAAGCGAACGTTCCAGAAAATAATCTCCCATATCGTGTACGTGTACGTTGCCGGTTCGTCTAGCGTGGCTAGGAGAGACGGGAGCTCCTCTGTTTTGCTGCAGCAGCGCACGTCGCTGCACCGAGCGGATGCCGTCACAGACCGTCGTGCACAAAATCAAGAATTCGAAAGAAAAAAACAACATCGGAAAAAGCCGGCAACGCCGTCGAACGCGCGCCGTGCGAGCCCGGGCAAGCTCAGCGCCGAGCTTATCAGAGTCGGCGCCAGATGGCGAGCGCCGCGTTTGCTCCCATTTTGCGCTTTGTAGTTTGTTTTGGCTCCAGCGGTGACGTCACTCCCGGGAAGGCAACATAAACGCGCCGTCGCGGACCTGCGTCTGCGTGTATCGGAGAACCGTCTCTGAGCGAAGCGATCGAAGCGATCCCTTGCCGCGTTCCAAACTCGAGCCTGCAAACTTGCAAGTTCGTTTGCCTGGCCATTCCTACCTGCTTCTGAGTTTTTCTGCAACCGTTTAGTACATTCGTCGAACTTCCCGTCGCTGCAACAGGCAAGTCGTTGAAGATGTCTGAAAGCCACTTTGACGAGTACGAGCACTACAACTTCGACCAGGACAAGTTCCTGTATGCGGGCCACAGCGGCAAGCAGAGGTCGAAGAGGGAGGCTTCGGAGCACACCAACCACCATGACCCAAGTGGACACGTTCGCAAGCTAGTCACGAAAATGGCCAACACCGAGAGGAACCGCAGGAACTCGGGCGGCAACCGGCATTGAAGTCTGGTGAGAGCGCGTTCCGATTTGCCGCTTAGTTATTTTTCGCTGAATCTCGCATAAGTTTTGGAAATCGTTAGAATAGTTGTCGTCAACGAAAATCCTTCTATGCACGACTTGCGCGGCAATGTTATTGTGTACGCTGCGTGCGTCCTTTGTTGCTAGCGCCATTTTCGTCTTCCGCCTCTGGCGGGAACGTCCTTGAAAAGTTCACAACAACGCAGTTTACCTGCTTCAGCACCTGGCGTTCAACGCCACCGTTTTCGGAGCAGAATATTAATGAATATCGGAAATTTGCAGTAAGGAATTGCTTCGACGTGATTCTGTTAGTTCGGAGCGGATTGTTTTGTTGCTGAAACTTGTTGCTAAGGGCGGGCCGAGGGCCCATCCTCCTCTTTGTTTATATAAATACACCCCTCCCGTTGGTGCCGATAGCGTTTCTTAAATACACCGCAGGCAAGAGTGTGGGGCTCCCAAAGCTGTTTATGGAGCTAACGATGAGCTTTGTTTTGTGGATAAGTTGTTTTATCGATCCGTCTTTTGTCAGTTGCCTCGTCTTATCGCGAAAAGTAGTTCAGTGATCCTTAGGAAGCGAGCGGACGAGGGTGTCGCATCGTATTCTTTTTGCGCCAAGACTCGACTCCCTATTCACTTCGGGATCATTTTAAGAAAACTGCTGACCTTTGTGAGCATACTCTTAGACAGGTACCCCATACGATGCCAGTTTTGAACACTATGTAGGTACGAAACAATGAAGTGCGGCGTTTTTTTTTTTTTTTTTTTTCAAGCACCATGGGCCACGTGTCAGCGCAGTGCGCGTGCTCTCTTAAACGAGTCTAGCTTCTCCGGGCACAAGGAATTGCTCTAGCCTCTCTAAACGTGCCGACCCATCACATTCAGGCCGTTGTCCCCTCTCTCCCAATCAGTTCGCTCACGACGTTGATGCAACCGCCTTAGCTGTGTGTGTCCTCTTTTTTATTATTATGTAAGCGTTAAAAAGCTGTGCCGCGGGACTCTGCCAGAACCAGTCTGGTCAGCTGCACCCAGGTCGATCGGCGTGCCTCACGGTGTAAGAAAGAAAAATGAAGAGCAGGACAACAATAAGAAAAGGCTTAAACGTTAAAACAGGGCCAGCTATAACAGAGAGACTCAGTACGAAGATGAGTTCTCGGCAACGGCCCCTTGCTGAACTGACGGCGTAGTCGTCGAGCGCGTCCTCTTGGGGCTCGTGCAAGTTCTCATCTTGCCCTCGTCGCCTGCGCCTAGCGAGGACGGCGACTGGAAAGAGGAAGCGGTGGAGAGACGAAGGGGGGGCAGCGGCGGTTATCGACGCACGCTGGCTCGCTTCCTTGTGCGTCGTGGAGGCGCGCCAACGGAAACTCGCTCGTGCCCTTTGTTAGAGTTGGCAACCGCCCTCGTTTTAGCACATCTCCCCGCCTTGTGTTGGGTCTTGTAGCTTTTGTTTAGTTTTATGCAGGGCCCCCCGTTTATTACGTTGTCACCGGCACAATTGACTCGAGTGACCACTGTTGCACTCACTGATTAGCGCTGTAGTCAGTGTTCGACCTGGTATTTCTTAAACAGCGAAGAGACAGACTGCTTTAGGACCACCGGACTCAACGCAGCGCAGCACGCTTTGCACACTGTTTTCTGGGATGTTTTTTTTACCTGTCGGTTGTTTACTTGTACCGAACAAACCACTACCTCCCGCGCGGCCTTCGTGAGGCCTTTAGCTTCGGCGCGTTGTTTGCAGATGCGGGTTCCAATTCTGCGTTATGTCTTGGCAATTTCATTATTTGTTCTGTAGACACGCAATTCTAGATTCTCACTAATTCCCACACTTCGTAGGAAAACCTTGAAGCAGGGGGCTAGCCAAACTATCGAAACACATTCCATTTATCTCTAAGATACTGTAGAATACAATGAAGTTGTGGGTCTGTCTGTACTGTAGAGTTAGTTGTCACCCAGAATACTGTGAATGTCATGCGTAATAAATAATTCTCGCGTTGTCCACGTTAAGTTTATGGATGAACTAGGGCCATGCACTCGACGTTATGACATAATTACGAGTGGCACCACACATTCACCTTCGCAAATGCACTGGAGGTCATATGGCAAACTGGTTCATAACGCGAGTTATTGACATTTTGCTCTCAATCAATAGTAGCAGCCTGCTCTCAAGATCGTGTAAATGTTAGTGCAAATATAAACGGTAATTTATCGCCAAAGTTATTTCCTCATCACTTAAACCGGAGAATCAAGGGCATGTAGTGAAACTGTCAAAAGACAAGCTATAATAGTCACATGCATGTCAATAAGCCCGACCGCCTTAGCAAATAGTGAATCAATGCATTCGTTTTTCAAAGACTTCGATTTCTCAAATAGTGGTTTCGTTCCCTCTTTGCAGGTCGTTTGTGGCATCGGTGCCGGGCTGTCATCACCCACCTGTTGTCGTGTGCCGCATCTAATTTATGCTTCAACAACGGAACTTCGGACGTCGACTGTGATCTTTACAAATACCTTGGACATTGCGTACTCACCGGGCCGGTGTGTGTGCACAGACTGTTTGCCTTTTCCTCCCTGGCCCTCTTTTGTTTTTCTGTGATGTCTCGTCACTTGCTTTGACGCGCGGTGTGTGTTTCATCTTAACCCTCATAGGCGTCGACGGTGGCCCGCTGGTATCTTAGAATATTCCGGCTGTTGTCTGTCGGAGAGAGCCAATAAGAGCTACCTGTCCTTGCCACTTTATTTTTTATTTAGTCTCGATTTCATATTTATTCCGCACTGTCGTGTCGTAGACAATAAATCGTAGAGGGCAACTCGTGATGAAGATATCGTGCGAGTATAGGGTCTCACATCTAAATAAAGTGTTATGGCACTTTACAGCGTGTTCGTGTCAATTGTGCGCGCTCTGATCGTCAGCTTCAGAAGCACCGATTTCAGGTAAGTCTTCCACTTTTGCTAACAGTGGTTTTTGTTTGAAGGGCGAAAGAGGGAAAGAGTGAAACGACTTCAGGGTTTTTTTTTTTTCATTTTGCCGAACGGTGTACCTCAAGCCAGGACAGGGACACACATCAAATCTGATACACACAAAATGCCTCCCCTAAATGAAATCCTAGCCAGGACTTTCGGTAACGTAATAAAGAGTTCGGTAAAAGAAATAAACGATTCACCATTGGTTGCCTTGTGGCTGGTATGGTACTCAGCAACTTGGGGTACTCTCACCTCGTGACCTTTACTTAGAGGTGGGCCCTGAGGATTCCACCATGTAATGGGCCAGAAGTCAAGTTTCTCAAACGGGACAGTGAGTAATGCCCTTTATCGTCTAGGCTCTAGAACAATCACACACAAAAAAAGTCATGCAAACGCATGATTCGCTCGCACGAAGTCAAACTTCTGCATATATGAACAAGGGTGGGATTTATAAATAAAAGAAAGAAGCAATAAATGAAAATGCGCCAAAACAAAATTCTTGTCACCCGAAGGATGATGGGCGGCAGAAGTTTACATTCCGAAGAAACATTAATTTCATTGTCTTTATTTCTGGCTTTTCTCCTTTTAAGGGAATAAGCACTTTCCCCAATACACATGGCAGTCCATAACGTCTTAATTTCCAGTCTTGTGGGCTCAAAACATTCACTCCTTGAATCGTTGAAAACAAACATAGGTGCGCTCTGAGTTCTTCATTCTAATACAGGATAGTCAACTCTTGCGACAGACGCTGACAACGGAATTCCTGCGAATCGGGCTTTATAACGCTGACGCATTAAAGCAATATAAATGAAGCGATAGCATGCTTTGCCTTTAATTGGTTCACAGCTTTCTGCGGCTAAAGGTGCAAAGCATGGCCTCTGAGATTGCGAGCTGGCGGGCTGCGCAATCTCTGGGGACATGTGCAAAGTAAACAGTTTTTCGAATTCAAGGCCGTCGGCCACTGTTATGGTCTGTGGTCTCGCTTATTTAAAATGGTAATATTTATCCTCTCAAAATAAAAACTCTACTCGTATAACCCGTCTATTCTATTTGGAAACAAATTTGGCGATGAAATTGAACAGCATTACTAGTCTGGCTACATTTGGCTTGCATTCTGGCTCGTTATCGAAACCAGCCAACGGTAACCCTGCTATCTACTTGCGTCTCCAGTGTGGAGACGCAAACATCGTGGAAATACCCGTGTATCACACAACACATCAACAATTTTGAAATCAAACATAGCATCACAATATTCGACCTACAACAGTTCAGACATTGAAGCAACTATACAGCGAGTTGAAGTGGAGCAACGTCACCTCAGTTGATACATACAGACTTCGCTCGTACGGCTTATTGTGTCGGTTATTTCTGCCGCGGGAGAATTACTTGTGACAAGCGTAATTACTCTACATCAGCTCCGACGAGCAGACGTACAGCTCGATGTACAGCTCTGACTCATAACTCTGACGTGGTGTTTGTGCAGCTTTGACGTATAGCCAGAATGTGTGACGTAGAATATTTATCGTTCTGGCATTCCGCTTGAAAACTCATTCATGTGAACGGAGGTGACACCATGTATGTACATGCGTTTCTAAACCATGGCTATCGTGGCTATCGCCGCAGCGCATTGTAGAAATCACTGCTGCTCATGGTCCCACTGAGGGTCATTCTTCCGTTTTTTTTTATTATTTGCTGCCATTTTGCGCTGTAGTTAGTTCAGTATGTACATAAAGTTTGTTGTTATAAATAGTTTAGCGATGAAGGGGTCTTCCACCGGACTCACTTATCGAAGACGGCGCCGTATTTTTACGACCAGGATAAAATTTTTGTTCTACTATAGTGTCTCGATTCTGTTCATTTGTAAGCAATCTGCGCCTCTCTGAAACCTGAAATCTTGAATCAATGACGTCAACGAGTTTAGGCGAGCGTACAACGCGAATTTCACCGAAATCTATCGGCGCCGAAAAATCGCTGGATATGGCTTAAAATGAAGGAACTCTAGTGAAAGGAATTTCTCAGTGGCCTAAGCATGATTAGCGGTCAATGTGCAAAATCTTGTTTTTTTCTTGTTTTTTAACTTGCATCGACGTGGCATGGTTCTCAGATCTAAAACACGTGAATATTCGCGCCTCTTCGCGCGTCAATTGTCACGCCCTGGTAAAGTGTTGCCATCTAGTGAAGAAGCGAGGATACGCTGCGTTTGTCTTGCCGCCTCCGGGATCCCTATACTTGTTGCGCTAGCGTGTATCTGATGCCAACCCCAGCTGGTGCGTTGATCTGTTCCGCTGCGCCTGTAAATAGAATTACTGCACAATGCATCTGCTACCTTTATGTAGCAGAGTTGCATTTTTCCCTCCTAAACGCCACTTTACATCACAGAGAATCTCGTGATCGGCCTACTTTTCTACGCTCCAGCTGTGGCAAAAGCGGACTCGGTGGCGCAGCGGTACCACGTCTGACTCCAGCTGTGGCAAACTGGATTGACGCTAGTCATCACCAGTCAAGTTCTTAGCCGGTGAGCGACACGCTGGTACAGAGAACGCTGGGCATGCCGCCGGCAGAAACCGAGTGCGGCTTCGCCGCATACTTGTGAATTTAGGCGGTTCTTCGCGCAACTCCGGTACATAACGGTGGCATATACAGTAATTCTACCCACGAATGCGCCGCGTTTTGTGCGTCCGAATTATCGTTATTTAGGTGTGCCCCCGGTAAGGATACGTTGGATAACATCGTAGTGCGCTTCTGCTTGGAGTCGAAAAGCATTGTCCGTTCAACGAAAGTAGCACCTAGTCACCGTACGTAAAGCTATCTTATTTTTTAGTGTTTCTTTGCGATCGCGTTGGGTGTGCTGTATAAAAGTATTACCAGACTTTTCTAAAATAAAAACCTTGAACTAAAACATAAATGCGCGTTATTTTGGCGCACAGTAAGCAAGGAATACGTGCCTGCTCGGTACTGAGAATATATATATATATATATATATATATATATATATATATATATATATATATATATATATATATATATATATATATATATATATATATATATATATATATATATATATATATATATATATATTGTATGCGACACCTAAAACAAAACACAAAAAAGCAGTAGGTATATACGAAAAACCAGTAAACCTCACCGCTAGAGCCATGGTCGAAATAAAACGTAAAAAAGAGACAAAAACTAGAAAGTGGCAGTAGTTATTACACTCCTTGCATACAATGTTTGTTAACTATGGTGTACTCACTTTGACTGGCAAGAATAAAAAGAAATCTCTCTTAGCAGTTCTTAAATTGTCCATCCTAACTAAAAACATCGAGGTATATTGTTTTAAACATTGGTTCTAATATGTTACAATAATCATTCGTCACAGGTACCGTCCCATGGTTGGAGACTAAGATTGCTAGCTGTAACACCTTTATAATTCATATTAGGAAAAAAATACTGGATGTATTATTCAGACAGGATACACCAAGGCGGTATTAAGAAATGACTTCGTAAGAAATCAGGTTGAAATAATTTTTAGTAACACAAAAAACTCAAAGGAGGATATAATTCGCTGTCATGAACAAATTTCCTGACATTTATGGAGACCCTGCGAATTAGGGCGAAAAAAAATAGTGCTCGGTTTCTATGTACTTCCGCTTTCGCACCTTTCGTTCCTGCAGTCTCGTACAGGCATTCGTTTTACCGTGGTTTTGTTTTGTATTTGAGTGTGTATGCATGCAAAGTCATAAGCTTACAGCGCGGTGAAGACAACACAGAGTAGAGAAGTGAAGAAACTCAACAGACGAAGCGTGGTCGCATTAGCTCCTCCTTTGTCGTATTATTAGTTCCTGTCTGTCACGCTAGTTAAACATCTTTATCTGCGTAGTTTCCAGTAACTTTTTCACACTGTAAGCCTTTGATATGCATCACAAGCTTGTCCGGATAAGCGCCCTTGCAATATATACCATCTTGTCCTATACTTAGCCTCGCTGATATAGACTGATTTTATTAGCCTTATAATGTATAATGCTTCATAACAAGCGTTAGTAAAATGTTCTAAGCGAATGCCAAGTGACACCCTAGAACCTAATCGCCGCTCTATTACCTTTTGTCATGCATCACCAACGTTCCCGAAGAACTGCTATTTTTTTTATTGCGACAAAGACTTGTCTTTAAGGCATAATATTTTTTGTTAAATGTGGGCTGTTAGGCCGGTGTTGTGTATGAAGTGAAGTAGTGTCTTGTGGAATCTGTTTTCGTGTATCCAGCGGTTGTAACTGTCAATGTCACTGTAGCGAAGGCCCGGCTTGGAGGAGGTGACGGGAGCGTTTCATGGCTGCAACCCTTTACATGTCCATAAAAGGTAACGCATATCAACTCGTACAATACTTAGCCTTGTTGATATACTTATGGTGTTCATTACAGCCTTGTAGCGTGTAATGATTCGTAACCAATGTTAGTATAGTGCTCCGAAGTGATCCCACGCAGAGTAATCACAGCAAACAAAGCCGCAGTGGTGATTTCGGCCACTTTATGGTCTTTATGGTTACGTATACAACGCAGGGCGTGTGAACGAAAGGAAGCTTCCCAGGGACAAGAGCAATTTCATAGTACTACTTACGTGGCCCAGCCCTGTGACTCTCAAGTAGACGAGAAAAACACCTGTTCGCGGTAAATCATGCTATCCCAAGAAATCACCGCGGTGCCAATGGCACTACAGATACCGCTCTTCATCCCATAACCGGTGCTTATGGGATGACATTTACAACTGCCCAGTCACTGTGCTGGATCGTCCTTGAGCCAGACTGCACGTGGCGTTATTCCATCGACAGGACAAACAAACAAATGGTTATCGTAGAGGGATCGCTCTACACGAAATAAATATCAATTGTGGCAGTTTTTCTTGGGATGAT